TGCTTTCGGTGATCTTCGGGGGCGGAGGCAGGAGGGAGCGGTTCTTGTTGGCACGACGCCACGAGTGCCTTGCACGTGTCGAGGAAGAAAGGAGGATGAGGAGGAGGAGGAGGAGGAGGAGGAGGAGGAGGAGGAGGAGGAGAGGGAGGAGGAGGAGGAGGAGGAGGAGGAGAGGAGGAGGAAGGGAGGAGGAGGACGAGGAGGAGGAGGAGGAGGAGGAGGGGGAGGAGAGGAGGAGGAGGACGAGGAGGGAGGAGGAGGAGGGAGGAGGAGGAGGAGGAGGGGGAGGGGGGGGGGGGGGAGGACGACGCACTACCAGCTGAAAGAGCACGCGTCGAGTCGCCGCGCTGCGCTCCGGACGGCGCCACGCCGCACGAGGCCGGGCCCCCTGCGCGGGCCGTGCGCGAGCGTGCCGGAAGGGGCCTTGGAGTGGGCAGCGGGCAGGGGGAGGAGGAGGAGGAGGAGGAGGAGGAGGAGGAGGAGGAGGAGGAGGAAGAGGAGGAGGAGAAGGAGGAGGAGGAGGAGGAGGAGGGGGAGGAGGAGGAGGAGGAGGGCGCTTCCAGGAGGCACGGCGGCTGGCAGTTGCACTTCTTTAGATATCCTTTCGCGGCGCGATCACGTCTGCGTCCTCTTCTTCCTGGGCATGTTCTTGGGGTGGAGGGCTCAGGGTGGAATCCGTATGGGCTTTTGCACTTGCACTTCTTTAGATATCCTCTCACGGCGCGATCACGTCTGCGTCCTGTTCTTCCTCGGCATTTTCTTAGGGTGGAGGACTCGGGGTGGAATCCACATGGGCTTTTGCACCTCGAAAAAAAGTCCGTCTTGTGATTCACCTTTTGCAGATTCAAGCCTCGAACATCCGTCGAAACGGCATTTCAGATTTCACCCTTTGCCCTCCACCCAAAGAACATGCTCGGTTCTTCGGCGTCCGACGGTGCGCGGCGACGCGGTGTAGCCAAAGGGGTCGGTAGATGCGGCGGCTTGCACTTGGTACCTGGGGTCTCAAAAACACGGTTATCGATCGGGTTTGCGAGGCGGACACCCAGGGCATCCACGTGCAGATGAGGTGGCTTGGGCAGTGCCCTACACCCTCAGGGGAGGCCAGACAGTGGCCCAATCGCTTCTCTCGGGAGTTGTTCGACATGTCCGTCTCGATCTTCTCAGACGACATCGCCCGTGCGTTAGCGGTGGACGATGCGGCAGATTGAAGGTCGCGCACGCTGGCCCCGCATGCGCATCTTGATTCGGAGCTGTGGAAGGAGGGAGTGGCGCTGAACGGGGACAAACAGGTATATTGGATTAAGCTTGGGGGCGAGGAATTCAGCATGGGATGATAAGGCTGTATAGGGACAAGGACATGATGAAAGGGGAGGTGCAACGGGTAGCGAAGTACTTAGGAGGTCAGCTACACTTTCGAGGTCGCTCGAAGCCAGAGGTATACTATTGGATACACCGTGCCAGACAAGCCTTTTCTGTGCCAGGGAGCTTCTTGGGGGAGGTCACGAGTGAGAAGTCGAAGAGGGTCATGTTTCAGAGCATGGCCGAGGCTTCGCGTCTATCCGAGCTGGTCGCCGTTCCGCTTGCAGAGGCCGAGTTGCAGACGCTCGAGAGTGTGCAGGCCAAGCTAGCTAGGCGGGCTCTTCGAGGGAAGGAGTGTCTCGGGGTTAAAGCGACTGGTACCCGAGATATGCACTATGCAACGATACCCTGCACGGAGGTCAGACAGATGGCAGGTTTGCGTGCGCATGTATGTTCATAGAGGGCCCAACGGATCCACTGGTGGCAGGAAATTATTAGGGATCCCGAGCGGCATCTACTGCTGCTGGCTACGGCCGTTGCCTGCGCCTCCTGGGACAAGCACAACCTTTGCGATCCGACGGGCTTCTCGGCGGCGGCGCCTGGGAGGAGCTCGGTGCAGCCATGGTGGAGCCAGCTGCAGCTCGATCTTAGAGCGTGCGTGGACAGCCTGTCCATGGCCGACGTGCGCCCGAGGCCTGCGGCCCGCCTGTGTCGCTTGTGGTGTGAAGCTGAAATTCGCAAGGCTGCACTTAATGAACCCATAACAGGTATGAAGAAGGCTCGCGGTGGCCCACGGGTGTATGAGGACATTTGCGGGCACCTTCACCAGGCGGATGGGAGGGATCTGGCTCAACATCCAGCGGCAGCAGGAGGAAGAGGTGGAGGTGGCCAACATGTGGGTGAAAGGGGAGCGGGAGTGGAGCACGGCGGGCTTGGGGAGGGGGTTGAGCCGAATGCTGGCCTCGGCGATCTTCCTGAGTTGCCTGAAAGGTGCCAGCACCATATGTGTGCGATGTTCCTGACTGTGGTCTTGGCTTCGACACCCGCCGCCAGCTGTTGTTGCACCAGTCGAACTCACAACCAGCAAGACATGGACAAAAAGACAACTCACAAAATTCCTCACGGTCTCGAGTGCCTGTGTACTGTGCAACAATGTGTATACTACGAAACGGTATGCGTAATAACATATTGGTCAAGCCCTGGAAAAAAAAGGAAATATCCGAAGTCGAGGGGTCGGTCAAAGTACATCATCATGCTGTTGGTCCCCCCTACTGGCGTGAAGCGTGAGAAACGGAGTTTGCCACTTGTGAGGCGGCTAGAGCTCACATGACAACATAATTACGTTCGTAACTGCGCCATGGGGTGTGGATGTGTGTGAAGTCGTTGTTTTTGTTCTGGCTCGAAGTTTGTATCGCGACACTCCCCTTTACCTGGCAGTCTCACAATCAATGTCTTGCTCTCTGTTGTGTGCTGGGCTTACAGATGGCCACGTGGAAAGAACAATTCACGTCGGCAAGACCTGGTGATGCAGCCGCGGAGCCGCAAGGTCGGGGAGAGAAACATCGACAGGTGGAGACTTCGGAGGGCGAGCAGAAGCTGGACCTCGCCTTGAAACTCCGCGTGAGCGCGAGCCAAAGGCTCGGCTCCTGGCAGCGGCGTGCACAGTGGAGGTTGAGTTGCTTGTTGGTGGTGCGATCTACTCCAGATTTCGTAATGAAAGGGAGGGGGTCTCAACCCTCCCAGACGAAAAGTTTTAGACCCCCCCCCCCGTGGGAGAACCCTCCAAAACATCGTCCCCAGACCCCACCAGGCCCTCCAAGATAGCCTGGAAGAGACCCCCCCCGAAATGACACCCCCTCCCTTTTATTACGAGATCTGGAGTACCGCTCGATGGCCAATGCTCCCTCAGAAGAATGCCTCCCACGTGTTTGAAAGGGTCGCGCGGGCCACGGGCTCGGGCCTTCCGACGCGCTCCAGCTGACGGCTGCGATCATCACGATGCTGCTCCTCCTCCTCTCCTCCTCCTCCTCTCCTCCTCCTCCTCCTCCTCCTCCTCCTCCTCCTCCTCCTCCTCCTCCTCCTCCTCCTCCTCCTCCTCCTCCTCCTCCTCCTCCTCCTCCTCCTCCTCCTCCTCCTCCTTCTTGCGACGGAAGGTACACGAGCAGCCACACCGAGCGCACCCGGAGAAACTCCGGCCGGGATCGAGGGAGGCTCGGCACATGGTCGGCCTGTTTTCCGTGCGGAGGCGCAGTGCGACGGCGAGAAGCAGAGGCTCATCGCCGAGGTCCAGGAAGAGGAGTTCGAGCAGGCCCTCGCGTGCGCCATCGAGACGGTGGAGAAGAGGCAGGCCTTTGCGGGGCCCTGGCCCGCAGGTCATCTCGAGCTGGAGGGCCAGGAGGTGCTGGAGCAGAAGGCCTGACGCGTCGTCTCGATCGACTGCCACGCGCGGGTCGATGATGCCGCCCTGGTCGACTGCCACGGGTGGATCATGGGAGCCTCCCTGGTCGATGGCCACGGGTGGATCAGGGGAGCCGCCCTGGTCGACGGCCAAGAGTGGATCAGAGGGGGCCTTCCGGTTCGATTGCCAAGAGCGGGTCTCGTGGGCCAGCCGAAGCTCGCGTGGGAGCCCAGAGCCGTGCCCTCGTGCAGGCGCCGTGCTGCTGCCGCCTCCTGCCCCTCCCCCTCCTCCTCTCGCCGTGTCGAGTTTTTTCCTCGCCATATCGGCGTCCCGCAACGGCGCGGTGACGGACCGTGCGGTGGCCTCGAAATCCCCCCAGGACCTCACCGCACGGTCCGTCGCCGCACGGTCCCTGGGAGCCTCGGAGGCTCCGTGCCGCCCGAGACGGCCTCGGAGCAGGACCCGAGCCCCAAAGGCGCGCGAGAGGGCCCCGCATCCCCACCGACCCACCGCACGGCGTGGTCACCACCCCGTTTGGGGGCACCCGCGCCATCCTGGAAGAAGGACGGAGCCACTCTGGCACGGGCGGTGCACTGACCCCCCCCCCCCACCCGCGTGCGGGCACGGGGCTGCCGCCAGCGCCCCTCGTGCGAGGAGGTGCCGCGCTGCTGACGTGAAGGGGGACACCTGCCTCCAGCCTCCCCAGTTCAACTCGCTACGGACTCATGTGGAGCGCCGCCGCCACCGCCGCCGCCGCCGCCTCCTCCTCCTCCTCCACGTCTTCCTGGTTCCTCCTCGTCTTCCTCTTCCTCCTCCTCCGCCTCCTCCTCCTCCTCCTCCTCCTCCTCCTCCTCGTCTTCCTCCTCGTCTTCCTCCTCCTCCTCCTCCTCCTCCTCCTCTCCTCCCTCCTCCTCCTCCTCCTCCCCTCCTCCTCCTCCTCCTCCTCCTCCTCCTCCTCCTCCTCCTCCTCCTCCTCCTCCTCCTCCTCCTCCCCTCCTCCTCCTCCTCCTCCTCCTCCTCCTCCTCCTCCTCCCTCCTCCTCCTCATCATCATCATCCTCATCATCATCATCATCATCATCATCATCATCATCATCATCATCATCATCATCATCATCATCATCATCATCATCATCATCATCATCATCATCATCATCATCATCATCATCATCATCATCATCATCATCATCATCATCATCATCATCATCATCATCATCATCATCATCATCATCATCATCATCATCATCATCATCATCATCATCATCATCATCATCATCATCATCATCATCATCATCCCTCGAGTCCTCCGCGGCGGTGAAGAAGGCTTCGTGCAGGGCCTGGCCGTCCACGGCGAGGTTGTTCACCTTGAGCAGGATCTCGGGCAGGTTCTGCCCCACGTGCCCGCTGTTGGCCCCGTGCGCCACGCACTCCCCGCGCTCGCCCGGGCTGCCCTCGCACCGCGCAAGACGACGCCAGGGCGAGGAAAAAAAATAGGGCGAGGATAAATCGAGGATCTCTGAGATCTGGCGGCTCTGGAGGACGCATCAGACGTCGCGGCCTTCTCAGAGCGTTCCGGAACGCTCCGAGAGCGTTCCGGCACGCTCTGACCGGATTTGTCCTCGTCCTGGCCCCGTCCGATCGCGGGGGCGCGCTCCACGGCATGCCGAAGACCGGCCCCGGCTGGGCCCATCCTGGGCCTGGCATCGATCCCGGATCTCTGGCGATTCGTGTTGTGGAAAAAGCCCTTGCGCAGGCGGCTGATTGACAGGCACGGCACGCGGTGCCAAGCCAACGCGCTCGCCTGTGCAACAGGAAGCCCGTGCTGGAGCAGCAAAGCACAGCGCAGCAGATCTCTTCTTCTTCTTCTTCTTCTTCTTCTTCTTCTTCTTCTTCTTCTTTCCTTCTTCAATCCTGGAGTTTGTCCTCGATGTTGGCGTCTGTGGCCCGTGCCCGGCCCCAGGGACCCTCAAAAACAAACCTGTGGGGCGAACGGCTGCCACCAGGGAAGTGGCCTGCAACTCTGGGGCCCAGATGTCTTGAACGTTAGCCAGCGTGGACCTAAAACAGTAAGATCTTGCAACGCATGCGGTGCAATCTAGGTGTCGCCATCGATGAAGTGCGATCAGGGTGGTACAATCCATGTGGTGCTATCTACGTGGTGCAAAACCAATGCAAAGCAGTGAAAAGTATCAAGAAGCAGTGCAAGGCAATTCCAAGCAGTGCGAAGCAATGCAACGCAAAGCATTGTAAAGCAAGGCGGAGCAATGCAAATCAATGCAGCTCAACGCAAAGCAGTGCAAAGCAACGCAAAGAAAGCAATGCTAATCAATGCAATGCAATGCAAAGTAGAGCAATGCAAACCAATGCCAAGAAACGTAGGCCCAGACGGCGACGGGGCGGCGACGACGACCACATATGACCACATAGCCGCCAGACCTGCGGGCAGGCCCAGAGCGACGGGGCGGCGACGGCGACCACATAGCCGCCAGACCGGCAGGCAGGCCCATAAGACGGGCGGCGACGGGGCGACGACGGCGACCATGTAGCCGCCACGCCGACGGGCAGGCCCGGATCCTCAGGAAAGAAACGAGGAGCCCCAAGTGCGAGCCCTGTCTGGGGGATATGACAGCCCTGAGAAGCAGATGGGCGGACGTCAGGGGCGCGGTCGCCCTCTGGCTTGGCCAGGAGCGGCGCGAGCAAGTGCACAGTTGGCCGCCCTCCCACCGCGGGCCCGAAGCGGTAGACGAAGATGTAGAAGCCGCTACCGGCCTTGGGTATCGTTTAACCGATCCCCGTCCCCAGCGGCGTGGCCCGGCAGGAGAACCCAGAATCGAATCGGTAGGGCGGATCGGCGATCGAAATGAATCGGATCGGCGGAAATCGGCAGCCGAGTCGGGAGAAGTCGAATCGGCGGAAATCGTCAGAATAGCAGGCCTCCATTGAGAGATCGGAATCCAGATCGGAAGCGAGCCCTGGCCCGGGCCCCACTGGCCGATTTACTCCCCTAAATGCGGATGTAGGTCGTTCCCTTCGAGTTTCGAGGGGTGTATCCCCAACTGGGGTGGCAATGTGGTGGGGGTCTCGAAGGGGATGGGAATGGGGGTTGGTTAAAAGATACCGAGGCCTTGTATCTGTCCTCGAAGGTGATGTCGTAGAAGACCCACGCCAGCTCGCCCGGGGTGCTGGCCATCATCATCTGGGACAGTCCCTCGCCCACGAGCATCCGGGACAGCTCGACGCTGCAGAGCTCGCTGTAAGCCACGGAGCAGGTGGCGTCGGAGGCGAAGCCAGATGCCAGGGGCTTGTTGGAGTAAGACGAGATCACCCAGAGTTCCTGTGATACAGCTACTCCCCAGGCCTCTTCCCGGGTGCGTTCCGATCGTAATTTCGAGGAGAATCCAGCCGTGGCGACGAGGACCTCCCAGGCGGCCCTGAAGGCGAAAACGGGGGAAGGGTAGCGGGGTCGGTACCTTTCCCCAGACCCCCGACGTCGTGATGTTTTCACGACGCGACCCCCAGAGGTCTGGACCCCTTCCCTGGGACCGGTTTTTCGTCCTGAGTCGTTTTTTGACGGTCCCGAGGCCCGGGAAGGGCCCCCGGAGGCCGAAAATGGCGAAAAGCCTCCCGTCGTGATTTTTGTTCACGACGCGAGGAGGTCTGGGTCCCCTGGGCTCCCCCAGCGGCGTCGACAAGTTCTCTATGTACCCCACCATCTTCTCGGGAACCACGGTGCCCTTGTCGTTGGGCTCGGCCGCGCGGCCGGTCCAGACCCAGACGGCCCAGCCGTCCCCCTCGAGCGCCTGGCGCCACTGCGCCAGCAGGTCCTCCTGGAAGATCGTCATGGCGACCCTGGCACAGCCTCACTGAAGGGGCCCCAGGACACACAAACAAATCCACACAATTAAAAATATGCCCCATCTTTTCCTATAGTTTCAGGGCTCTTGTCTTCCCCCCCCCCCCCATTTCCCATATTTCCCCATATCTTCCTGAGACTCGACGATTCATTGTGTCTGTGTGTTTTTTCCCCTCTCCTGACTTACAACGAAATTCGGCTACACGCGAGAGTGACCCTGGGCAAGAGTGGCCCTTGGTGCGCGGCTTTTGGGGGGCCGCGGGGAGGCCAGACCTGGGCGCGCAAGCCGCCGCTGCCGCTTCGCTTCCAGCCGTCTGAGGGCCCGTCTCTGCCCGCACCAAAGGTCACTCCGGCGAAGGGTCACTCTTACGCCTAGTCGAGAAGCACGGACAGAGACAACATCGGACCGGGATAAATCGGGGGTCTCTGAGATCCGGCGGTCTGGGAGGATGTCTCGGGCGCAGCGGCCGTTGCAAAGCACTCTGGGACGCTCTGAGAAAGCTCTGGAAGGCTCGGAAACGGTTCATCCCCGCCCCGCCCGAGACCTGTTGTCAGCAGTTCGATTTGGCTGCAGCTGCCATTCTGCAAGGTTAGCAAGTCGGACAGGCTCTTGCCACTGAGCTCTGAATTCGCAGGATCGGCCAGCATCGTGCCGTCAGCCGAGATGACCATGGGACCGAATCCGAAACCGTCGACGCCATTGTCGTACTGACTACTGTTCAGCGCCTGCATCCAGGCATCCACCTCACCTGCCGTCGTGAGGCCTTCCAGCTGGGACACAGCTTGCCGCACAGCCTTGAAAGCGTTGGTCGGGCTGCAGGCGGCGTTGTAGTTGGCGTCGCAGGCAGGGTAGGGAGGAAAAGACCCCGAAAAGAAGCGTGATGCCCAGGACGGTCTAGCCAGCCAGCACACCCAAAGCACTATCGGCCTGACAATCAGGCGCCAAGGATTCATCGCTGCCGTGCAATGAATGGAAGACAAAATGAACCTTAAATGGTTGTCTGGCAAGCACGGAAATATCCGTTTTCCGTGCAGGCGGCTTCAGAAACAAGATGTCTGAGCCATGACTGCTGTGAAGGAGAAGGAGGGACAGGACAACGACGGCGAATAGGAGGGCAAGACTGTTCGCGTGCCCTGCTCCGACGCCGAACACAGCAGTGAGCCAAGCGCCGACACCCCACGCCGCAAGGCCTGGGCAGCACTGAGGAGCTTTTCGTGGGAGGCCGAAGAGGACGAAGACAGGGGACCACACGCACCGGCATGGAAAAATAGCACCTCGCGTGCAAATCAAATGCATTACGTATGTCCGCACGAGCTTCTCGGATCGGCGCTGGACGCGCCAGAGGCGCCCATCGCAGATCCAGGACATCCGCGCAGCGGTCCAACAGCTTATGCTTATGTCGTGCTCTGTTATGCGAGACCGCTGAAGGCCAATCAACCCTGCAGGCGGACATGGAAGAGGGCGACAACGTCAGCAACGACAGCAACGACGACGAACGAACAAACAGGCACTCCGGCACACTCCAGTCGCGCCCGCCCTGCGCCAAGCGACGCGCGCAGAAGTTCGGGCGGGAGCCCAGCCGGGGTCGGCTCTGAAGCGATGACGAACAGCCGGAGAAGCAGGAGAAGCAGGAGGAGGAGGGAGAAGGGAGGAGGCGGAAGAGGGAGAAGCGGATGGAGGGAGGAGGCGGAGGGAGGGAGAGAGAGAGGGGACCGATGACCACGCATCCACAGAGACCCTCAAAGCAGGTTCAGTGGAACTCCATTCCCCGACGGCCAGACGACGCCATACACATACGGCAGATATCGTTGCCATCGCCACCGTGAGGGGGATCTGCTGAAGGGCCACCAGGGCTTGTGCGGAGAACGAGGACAACGACGATGACGACGATGACGACGACGCTGACGAGAAGGAGGAGGCCAAGCATCCAGGGAAGATGAATGGGGGAACGAGGAGGGGGAAGAGGAGGAGAAGGAGGAGGGAGGAGGATGAGGAGAAAGAGGAGGAGGAGGAGGAGGAGGAAAGGGAGGAGGAGAAGAATGAGGAGGAGGAGGAGGAGGAGGAGGAGGAGGAGAAGGAGGAGGAGGAGGAGGAGGAGAGGAAAACGAGGAGGAGGAGGAGGAGGAGGGAGGAGGAGGAGGAGCTTGGTAGAAGTCGATTGGCTTACGGGTACCAACGCCCATGGGGGGACCAGGTATCAAGTACTAGTTACCCTCCTGAAACACTGTGGCTGGCAAGCCCCACTGTGAGATTTATGGGTACCAACGCCCAAGGGGGGGCCAGATATCAAGCGCCCGTTACCCTCCTGAAGCACGGTGGCTGGCGAGCCCCACCGTGAAATGAGGGGGAAAACCCCAGCATCGTCCCTGATGCTTCGTCGAGGCGGACTGGCCTTCTGGGTGTCCGATTCGATTGCCACGCAGATCATTCCCCCGCCCCCCCAGTCCCAA